GATCCTTTATATCATAGTGAAAGGTATCAGATCTCTAGTGATAAGCTTTTGAACTTGTATGGAAATCTCATCTTGTTGCATTTCTCAATCTATTACCTCAAGCGAAAGTTAGTCATTCTTTTTTTTTTTCAGTATTTTTTTCTTTCTTTGGTCATGATTGCCATTTTTAATAATATGTATCTTTTTTTAAAAAAAATAATATTTTTATTCGCTTTGTCACTTATTTATTTATCTGCTTATTTATTTATTGCTTATATCTCGTCACCAGGCATGACATTTTGCGTTTATTTATGTAATTTTTGAAAGAAAAACAATCCAACATTTTTAACTAATATCAACGAAAGTTAGTCAGTCATTGCGATGATATCTTTCATCTTGTTTTCATCTTTATCATTACAGCATTTTTGCCATTTAACTACTATGTTCGTTGCTTTTTTTTTTGTCAAAATAACCCCACCTCATGTTCATTGACTTTAACCATGTGTTAAACAACAGTAATTTATGCATTGTATTTGAACAACACTCGCTTTATCTTATCTTAATATAAACAACGATACATGAAATTAAAGAAGGAATTTTACTACTATATTGTTATTATAATCATGTCACTCCCTCCCTCCCCCCAGAATATTTGTATAGACTTCTCTCAGTATTTTTATATGATTAGATATGCTTAGCCATCATCTTCCTCGATGGGAAATGTTAACCGATATAGAATCAGGTTGGAAAACAATTGGTGAGACGAACAAGTCAAACGTTTGCATCATTCCATGAAATAATTGACAGTTGGTTTGAGTTAGTCAGGTAGAAAGATGTAGACTACCTGGTTGAGGTCTTCGAGATACTAAGAATCAATGACTGGAGATGACATGGCTCGAAATCCTTGTTCTCAGTAGTGCGGATGCATTCACTACTTTTGTAATCCCGCCTATCCTTTAAACCCTTAATGTTTTATCATGGTACTATTCTTTCTCCCTCACATTTCTGCTTAGCATCCTTCTTTCGAATATCTTTTTTTATCTGCTTTTGTGTACTACATGGAGTGTGGCAATTTCGACTAAGTGCTACACCTTTGTGCAAAGTTCTATGTTGAAACCAATTAGTCAGTATATATATGTATAAGTTCAGTAACTTTGTACGTACTGTGTCTAGATTTGTGATGAAAGTATACTTCTGTAGAGTTTATATATAGAATGCGTTTTTAAGTACTACTAAACTAATGTACTATATAACTTTATCTAGTTTACTAAGTGGTTTTAAGCCGGGAAAAAGAGGTAAGGTTGAGCGTTGGGCTAGCGACTATACCCTGGAAAATCAGCCTAATCACTACAAAAACGTCAGTGCACAAAAGGAAAAATATTCCAAAAGTAATCGTATTCTTCACTGGGATCGGAGAGACTGAATGGCGCCGGCTGCTATTGGAAAGCCTTCGACAAGCCAATTAGCTAATGTTTCTCCTTTCACTAGAAGCAAGACTAACTATGGGGACATGGGATTTTCGCACAACGTTTGAAGCTGGAAATTTGTGGCTTAGTTATATTTTAGTGTCACACAAATTCGATAATCTACTGGCTAAAAACCATCAAATTGGCAGAAGAGGTGACGAAGGCAAACTTCAAGTGAACGTAGAGAAAACAAAGGTGTTGAAGTTATTCCCCGAGTAACAACAACAAGCACCAATCACTACCGACGGATGAGATTTGAAGGAAGTCACTTCAGGAATGGGAAACAACGAGTTGGGTGTCCGAGGGTGACATGGAAAAGATCGTGTAAGGAGGAGATGAGCGCCAATGGGCAATCGTGGAGCCGGTTAAAGACAACTAGGGAAAACAAGATGGAACGGAGATGTGCTGTTGAATTTCTGTTTTCTACTTGAAATTTACACGAGTAGTGACAATAGTGTATTATACACAAATGTTTTCATTTAGGGGGTGATGCATGTAATACTTTCTAAAGGAATATATCATAGTGATTTCCTACTGAATCAACAATCTAGTGCTAATGTAACGGCAAAAAACGCGAGACTTGATGAAGGAATATCTATTTGGAATTGCTATTTAGAGAAATTATGTACGCCTTATCTGCAACACACCATTTGCACAGATCTTCCGTGTTGTGCTACTTCTCACTTTCCTTCATAATGTATTTCTTCGTGTCCCTTTCACGTCTCCCATGTATCTCCTCAACTCTGAGTCATTTGCTTTCTCTGGATTCGAACCTTTGTGGTGGGTGCGTACTGATGAAAAGTCCCAATCTAGGAAGAAACAACTGTCTAGTACTTTCAGGTTTCCCAATGGTTCTCTGACCGATGTCATTTCATGGTGAAATTCTGAAACCAATCAGATCCATGCAAACCAACACTTGAAAACATATTCAAACTGAGAAGCTATCTTAGCCTAAGATGCTGATGACTATGCACCGAGAACATTCCTACAGACCGTTCTTTTTGATAAATCTCCACTGAGAAGTTATTCATATAAAAACAAGATGTTCAGATGTAGTTACACTGAAAGCATACATACTCCACAAAAATATTTTAATTAAAATAAAGAAAGTGATCCATAGAGAGAATTCATTAAATGCATTTAAAGGGGGGGGGTGGGTAGTCACCTTTTTTAATGAATATTGTATATCCTGTAAATTATCAGATAATGTTGTGGTGAGAGCTGGCTGCTAGCCAAATTGGTAGATGGTAATTTACGTCAATGTTTACGTCCTCAATATTGGTCGTGAGAAAAATATGAACAAAGACTGATTCAACAACCAACCACAGTAAACTTTGTGTAGGCGGATACAGTTAGCATATAGATGATCTGACATTCTAGAAACAGCCACAAAGAGATGAAAGATTAACTTTCAGGGAGAAACGAGCAATCAGAAGACTGTGTTTTTCTGCTAACAATAATCTATAAAAATGTACATGAAAAGCTATAAATATGTGTTGATTTCCTTAATAAACGATCTGTTGCCTAGCCCTTGTCTTCTGTTATTACAATGTTTCCGTCGAACACAACAGCTATCTTCCATGTTACGCAGCACTTGTGCTTTGTTTTAGTTGCAACATAGGCAGTCAACTAGTGTCTTCATATTGCTTAATTGATTGACTGAGTTTCAACGTAACACTTAACACAGAAGTGTATTATTTTTTATTCAGGCTGCTACATTCAATATAGCACACAAATGTAAACAAGAAAGAGAAAGAGATTTAAAAAACCATGATAAGTATAAATGTGAGGGATAAAAAATAGCAGCATGTGAAAGCATTAAGCTTTATTGGAAATGGGGGATCACAAAGATGGAGTGCATCTGCGCCACTGAGTATGATTTTGAGTCATACTGCCTACAGTCTAGATCCATCGGTCCTTAGAATCCCGAAAACTCCAACGAGGTAGCCTACATCTCCCTAAGTGTCTGGCTCAAACCAACTGTCAAAGACATCATGGACATGAAATCAGGTTTTGGTTTGACCATCCCTAAGACTTTTCCAGCATAATCTTATGTCGGCTAACATTCCGCGTCGAGAAAGGCGATTACTCAGGATGCATAATACGTGTCCTAGCCACCTGACATAATAATCTACGCCTAACCTCAATATTAATCACCCTATTATATCACTTAGCACGGGAGACAGAACGCAGAAACCCCCTATGGTCAAACACAGCCAGCCTTTTCATATCTTCCACTTTCAATGGTCATGTCTCACAGTCATTAAGGAAGACAAAGCGAAATGCTTCTCAGTATACATGTTGTTTGATGGACAACTGGATATCGCATCTACGCCAGAGATGATGCGGGCTAGTAAATGGTACGTGAACCTTATGTATCCGTTAGGGCTGCTGGCATTTTCGAAATAATCAAAGTGATCGGTGTGCTCAACCACTTCACTCCCTGTCGTTAAGCTACAAGTCAGTATAGTCCAGACCCCCAGTATCATCTTACACATGACACGAGTTTATATTTTATATGTAGGATAAAGGTTGGAATAATTACAACCAAACCTAGGCATATGAGTTTCATTTTGATTTGATAATATAATTCTAATTGCTTCAAACACTTTAACATGAGAATCACCACAGTTACATCCTAATTTACTGGATTTGTTAAGCTTGTTTGAGATCCTTGCATTTGGAAGTATAGAGGAGCATATTGATGAAATTTCAAAAATTTATGAATCTACTGATTAGGAGATAGTAATATGAGTAGTTATAAAAATAAAAATTGCCATATATATTTTTTGAAAGACTTTAAAGGGCTGTCTCTCTTGCTACAAATTGCAGAAACTTGCAAGTGGATTTTTAGTTGAAATGTTTAGCAAAGTTTAGGATGAGAAGACTTAACAAGCTCACATGAAATGTAATCACAAGTTCAAGATATCTTAGATACACTGGGGTCCGTCGTAACCCCATTCGCTCAGTAATAATGTCTCTGGCTGCAGTACCATGAGATGCAGACTCAAATCTCCAAGGGGACACATCACTCCTTGCTAGGCTTCACATTTCCCTCGCTGACTCCAACAAATACGAAACCTAAATCCAGGGCTTTCTGCGAACTCCCTCAAACCATCTAATGTCGGATCATAAATAATAAGAATTGATTGTTATACATAGGATAACTAACTTAACAAATAAAAAGAATTTAGCGGCCCTAGTGGGTACTAGGTTCGAGTCTCGGTGGGAACACCATAACTCACTAGGGGATGTAGGCACATCCAGATGAAGAGCCCCAAATAGGACGAAATGTGCATCCTAGAATGCACAAATAAAATGATAAGTTAATAAGTAGTATTTGTAGGTTTGTTCATTAAATCACACCATCAGTAGCGTTATACATGACTGGCAGAATCAAATGAATTAAATCTTCTGCATAACTTTTACATCAGAATTTGTCTTTCTTCATTTTAAGCAGACAAAACTGCCTGTAAATTGAATAATAAGAATTAAATTAATTTTCGTGAAAGTAAAATAAAAATGGAAAGACACAAAACGCAAGTATCCCGGTTTTCATTGATGACAGTCTGAGTGTAAAGAAGACGACCAATCGATGGTGCCTGTATAGCCTAGTCGATCCCACCTTATCCAGTTGAGGCGAGCAATTAAGTCTAAAAGTAAAAATAAAAAAACAATTTTTTTTAAAAGATGAATCAGCGTCAAGAGTTTGTTAATGGGGATTTGATTTGTGTAAAGCTGGGTAACCGGTTGATATATTATTTAGAGAACCATTGAAAACCATCTGGGAGTACCGGACAACTGCTTCGTTCTTGTTTGGGACTCTTCAGCAATACGCGAACATGACTGCAGCTGAGATTTAACCCAGGACTCTCAGATCACAAGGATAGCTCGTATACCATTCTGCCAATGGGAAGGAATCCAGTGGCCAATCAATTCTAACTTCTGTCAATTCACGATACACGCGGCGCGACTGCCAGCCAGTGCAATCGGTGATTGTTTATCCTCACACCCGGCCAGGTATACCCTAGCGGTTATGAATTCCCACTAGAACTCCAGGTTATTTTATCCCTTAGCCAGTCATTAGTTAGCATCTGAAGGTCCTAGGTTCGATACTAGATGGTGTCGTAGGTGCATACTCTGAAGAGCCTCATAGTGGGACGAAACAATGTGTCCAGTGCTCCCTAGCTTTCAAACTTGAAACTAATCAAATCCCTACAAACTAATACTTGAACAGTGAAACTATTACATCAAGAAAAGATTAAGTAAATTCGAAGATTAAAAGTGAGTTTGGCTCAGTGAGTGAAAATCAAAATTGTGTAAAGACTGTGACGTAATGAAAAAGGTGTACACAAATAAACACTCGTTGTTTAATTAATAACTATTTTGTATTCATACCTTTTGTTCCATTACTGTACTTAAAAAAGAATTATTGAATGCCCTTCGTAGTGGAGTGATTTTCATGTTATATATTTACATTTATGATAACTTTAGTGATTCGTAGGATATATTTCTTCTTGCTTAAGAAGCTTGTTCATAAGATAATCAAATTCGTAAAATATTGAATTGTTTGGTGTATCACTTTTTCATACGATTTTGTAATGGTCAGTTATATTGACAGCTGCAAACTATTTTCAGGATATACTGCATGCAATATATTGTGGCGTGTGCTACTGATAAGATTTATCAGTAGTATGTGAAGAAACGTTTGTAGGCATAAATAATCAAATAGCAGGGAGACAGATTCGATGTCAGAGAAAGCAAATGATTCAGCGTTGTGGAGATACATGGGAGACGTGAAAGGAATACAAAGAAAGACAATATGAAGGAAGGTCAGAAGTTACACAACACAGAAGATCTATGGAGATGGTGATTTGGAGATAAGGTGTACATAATTTCGCTGTATAGCGATAACAAATTCCAAATAGATATTCCTGCATCAAGTCTCACGTCTACATCCGTTACAATATTACCACATCTTTGTAGTTTTATAATGTTATATTTCACTGAATAAAGCAATCAAAGTTTAACATAGAAGTGTACTTCAGAAAATATCTTTACCAACCATTTTTAGAGCATTCTGCAGTGCTTTTAGCACCAGAATACTGAAGGAGATACTTCATTGGTCCATTTAATCAAAGCAGAGGTAATAGGATGTTAGGCGTTTTCCTATTGGTGGTATTGAGGTATACAGATATCCCTTTTTGTCACTATTAATTATTGACAATTTTGATGGAATACAATATTTCCGCAGTTAATCTGAAAGTTTTTGGTCAAATTTAAGACTTTGCACAGAAGTGTGTCGAGTTAATTAATTACATAGCACAACAATGGAAGCAAAAGTATATTTATTTAGAATGGTTGCATTTGGCGGTCTGTTTAAATCACTGAACTTCCTGAATTTCTAACACAATGCATGGTATTTTCTTTAATTCTTTTGTTTCAATTACTTACTTATGTTTATTCAGTAGCAAAATGTATTCACGCACAATTTTAATTGACTTTCAAATTATTAATTATGTTCATTTCTCTGAGATGAAAGGAAAATGTCATCAAAGATTAGTCCTTACTTCAGATAGAACTGCATTTTATCACATAATATACTACGGAATGCTATTTTACCTGAATATCCTGGATGAAGAGATAGTTGCGTGGACATTTTGTCCAGAATAAGGCTATTATTATTATTGTAATTTTCACTTTTATCTGGTTAATTTAACATCCTAAGCCTCTATATTTTTCGTAGATCTGTGTTGCACTTATCAGTTATTCCCCGTGACTGATTATCCGCTAGAATACTTCACAGGTGTTGACAGGCTTTCAATGTAATTTGTTTCTTGTTTTCTCAAGACTTGCTTCGTTTAGGTCCTACTCAACAAGTATGAGGAAGATCTAGTTCCTTTATTCTTCTGCATTCTTTCTTCACTATGGTAAGAAATTGAAAACTTATTTTTACGGAATAATTCACAGTTAAACTCTTACTTTTACACTATTTTATAACAAAAAGATGCTAGAAGATCTGGTCTATGCAGATGATTTTTGTCTTATATCTCACACACTTGGAAATTCACAAGTGAAAACCAACGAGTTTGTAAAACAGACAGTGAAGACAGGGCTTCTGGTAAAGATAGATGTGATGAAAATACCAAACAAACTATAACGAATACCAAACATTATCAGTAGGTGAAATCTAAGGGACATCATTTCTTTCACTTACAAGACATAGATAGCATCTTTATCATTAAAGGTGGCACAGATGAGGTTGTTAAAGCCATTCAGGACAAGGAAAGCATGACAGGCGTTTATTAATCAGAAATCAGTGTGGAGATATACAACTATCGGCAGATACAGGGAACAAGATTCAAATTTTTAAAATAAATATCAAATCAGTGCTTTTAATATGGTCTACAGATTGGCGCACATATCAACAAAAGTATTTCCATCAAGCTGCAGACTCTTATCAACAGATGCTTTCGCCGAAAACTGAAGATCAAATAGCCAATCGGGAAGGATAAGCAGCAAGGGACTCTAACACTGAATCAACCAACAATCAGTCACCCAACAAATATGCATAAAGAAATGGGGATGATTTGGACATATACTGACGGCATCTTCAAAGGGAATCACATGACAGGTAGGCCTTTGAATGAAAAGCAATGAGTTCGGCTTCCCACTGCAACATGTAGAAGATCTATGTAGAGAAAAAATGACAGCTTGTGAATAGTTATGCAGTCAGCTGAAAATACCGGCAGAAAACTGGATGAGATGGACGTGTACCGATAAAGCCCTATGTTCCACCAGGAAACCAAGGAACGAATAATAATATAAAATACAAGAGCAATTTCATAAGTTATTGCATACCATCCATATCAGCCAGTAGTGCCTTTTAGCTAGATCTAAGTGATTTAAACACCGGATGGCTGTTTCTCTCGTTTTGGACTAAGATCATCAGCAGTGTATCCAATTTGACTCAGTGACAACCGAATAATACCAAAATCAAATGTTTCATCTTAAAATAATTGATAATTCTGCATATATCACCCAGTAATTACAAATTCCCCAGTTGTGAATTTCGTTGAGAATATTTCTTGGGTTGCTGGGGATTTGTGATTATATATTTAACATAGAAATATGAAATTTTTACGTCGGTTCGTCACTAAGATGAAACCAGTGCCGTGCATCTTTACTCCTTGGTGTTAGTGCTGACTGACTTCAATCTATCAAGTCTGCAATACGATCACCAACCTAAGTCACTCACCACTGAGTTGTACTTTGAATAGATGTTTCAGGGTTGGATGCAATCGAAAAGAGACCATGGACCAAAGTTTGATCGTTGCTGGCAGTAATTACAAATGGCCTATCTGTACCTTCAGTTCCTTTAATAGTACAGAGAGGCTTTGTTGATAACTACCAGCGAAAACACAAAATCTCGTTCCAGGGCTTCTTATCGATTGCTTACCGTCATATGAAAAGTGAAATGCAGCACTAATAAAAGGTGCCATTTAGCGCACCTCTGCACTTATAATTCGATGATGAGTTTTTCACATAAATGCTGCTGCTGCTGCTGGATTCAACATAGAACTTGGCACCGAAGTGCAGTAGTTCGAGTTGCCACGTTCCAAATAGCACACAAAGGTAGACAGGAAAATGAATGGAAATATCTCACATTAGTTATTGATACAAACGGTCAGAAATAAGTGTAGAAGTTATCATTATCTGGGTAAAACTGTTGATAAGCGGTAACAATAACTACAACACAATTTATACTCACGAAAAATACCCATTTATTCATAAGTAAAAACATAGTTTTTGTTCAGCGAAGAAATTTCTTTTCAACGACTTCATTTTCAAGCTGTAAAGTCGTATTTATATTACAGAAAAGGTCATTAAGTGGCACTAAATAATTGCTCAGTCAGTATACATATATGTGATAAGAATAACGATTATTAAAATGTTATAAGGGGTAGAGTTGAAGTGGATAAATTACAAAATTATTAAAGATTGTTTTATAAGTGAATTGAAAAATGTTTTAATTATTTAGTGCCACTTAATGACCTTTTCTGTAATATAAATACGACTGTACAGCTTGAAACAATTTATACTGCTAAGCGTTAAAAACGCTTACAGTAATTTTTACCAGTTGATCATGGACTGATATCAGTTAGAGAACCATTGAAAACCAGGAAGTACTGGACAGCTGTTTCATCCTAGTTTGGGAATCATCGGTAGTAGACACCCATTGGGATTCGAACCCAGGACCTTCACGAGTTGGTAGAAGTTAGAATTCATGAGCCGTTGAATCGGGTCCCAGTGGCTGAATGGTATACGAGATTGCCTTGTAACCAGAAGGTCCTGGGTTCGAACCCTGGTGTGTGGGTGCGTACTGCCAATGATTCCCAAACTAGGATGAAACAGCAGCTGTCCAGTACTTCCTGGTTTTCAATGGTTCTCTAACTGATATCAATCCGTGATCAACTCGTAAAAACATAACTAACCCTTACAAACCAAACAGTAATTAACATCAATGCACTACAGTATAAAGTTGACTTAACCAATAGGCAGTAGTTTCCTTTCGACTGAGAGAAACAATAAGATATAATCTTTTTTGTAGTTATGAAGAGATATTATTAAGGTTGAAACAAACATTCAATCTTATTCATCTTCACCCCACATTAATTTAATTTCAAACGATGAATATCGTTCTACTTACCACTCGTATACCAGCTAAGATGATGCCTTTTAGATGAATTTAATCGATGAATCATAAATTGTATCACTAGTTGACCTCTTCTTATAGGTTGATCTGTTACAATTGAATCCATATTGGCTAATAAATCTTTAAGAAGTGCTAGATAGGCAATTGCAAGTCTCAGTGTATCAATCTTTGATATTCTCTTCTCATATGGAAATGTTGGCAGACATGCTCTTAACGCCTTGTTAAACAAAAGAAGAAGATAACGAAAAAAATTATCAGTAAATGAAATTATTGAGTGTGAGGAATTCTGTGCATCATATAGTTGAAATGATAAAAAGATAATAACAGTCGGTAATGATTATTTAGTTATGGTTGTGTATAAACTTGAACGCTGTGTTCCAATGTTTCTATTGGAACATAGGGCTTAAACAGTACATTCCTATTTAATCCTGTTCTTCCCAGTTGTCTTTAGCTTGCCCCATGGTTGTCCATAAGGTCACAGCTCCTCCTCAGATAGCCTCCGCAATGTCATCCTCAGACTAAATCCCAACTGCTCGTTCCCCAATCAGGTTTCATTCAAGTGATGGCCTAACGCGCGATGTCACTCGACGGTCTCCTCAGAATGTCTCCAGTACATCGCTATTTTCTTCGGCATATTTGTTTGACAATAGGTTCTTGATTTGTTCTTCCCTAAAGTTCCTCGTTGTTAGTCCTTTCTAGCTATCTGGTATTCACTGTGGAGTCAGCGAAGGCAGCTGTTAATATAAGTCTGAAGCCATTTCGTGCTAGTCTGTATGACTGTTTATGACTGTAACCACGAGACATTACAAAACCTAATTAGGAATCAGTTCTACCGTCAAACCAGAGCCATGATATTATGTCCTCAGGTAAATTTGTGAATAAAAATTCGAAATGTTTGAAGTCACCATTTTGTAGAATAATATTCCTAGTTTAAAAATTATTCTCTGAACTTACTTTTTGATTGGTATGATTATGAGCAATAATTTATGCTCAAAACGTCATCCAGTTGTTAATACTGTATTGCTGTGTGATAGTTAAAATAAACTTATCTAATATGGAATTACATTCTACTACAGTACCCAAGTTCTACACTTACCTTACTGCATATAGTCTGACTTCTTATTCCGTTTAATGAATCATTTTCCATGTAGTCTTTAAGTATAAGTAGTAGATTGTTTAACCATTGTGCTAAGATGTCAAAAGTTGTACAACAACTTGGTTCTTTACATTAGTGATAAAGTTTAGACAGAGTTCGAACCCCGGTGGGTGCATACTGTGAAGAGTCCCAAACTAGGACGAAACAGTGGTCTACTACTCCCAGGTTTTCCACTGGTTCTCTAACTAATGTCAGCTCATGATGAAATCCTCCATGCAATCAAAAAAAATCCCACAAAACCAATACTTGAAAAGGGATAAACTTAAAAGTTGTTTTGACAATCAGTTTCAAACCCATAAGCAGGTTAATTTAGGTTAACACGGTAAGATATTTTCGACTGTCGATTCGACTACAATTCTGTCACTGGACGTCTTAGTAGTATCACAAATACGTAAATGTTTAGACACATTTTAAAGATGACATCTCATATCAGTTTACAGTGTGAAATATTATGAAACTATTAAACTACCTACTAATAACAATACAGTCAACATTCTGTATCTACTAATAATTATTATCAAAGAAAATTTCCAAAAAGCCTATGATAGGAAGCTTCATTGATTAAGGAGTGAGAGATATGAGCATCTGCAGATGGTTTTTACAAGACAAATGATGACACTCACCAAATCTAAACTGAATGACCTGGCGGTAACCTGTTTGGATGTAAAACTTAAAGACAATATATTCGACCTTCATCTTGAACTTTACTCTGAAAGCGTTGTCTGAAAAGACGAGGAAAGCTTTTCAATTATGCCATCTAGCTCAATGAATCCAACAATGCTAAATGCTCAACATGTAATATATGGAAGGCGAATAAAGAGAAGGTAATATGGGAATATGTATATATATATATATATATATATATATATATATATATATATATATATATATATATGGAAGACATTTCTTTCTCGTAGTTAACTTAAAGCAAGGAAAACTGTGAAAAAGCCGTATTTAATGCATTCATACATTTCTGTAGGACTCGTTAGCTGAATATTTTGCAAACATTGTTATTTGTACAATCTTTAACGTTGAATACATAAAAACATACAAAACCATTCTAGGTAGTGTTCGGCAACATGAACCCAATTTGCTCTCTAGGACTCATGACAGCATCGAAAGGAGCTCCATCACACGACATTTATTCGATTGTCTTCACAGTTATCAATAAGCAGGATAATAGAAAAGCTCTTGGTTTTGCTGAGGCTTGCACAATCAGATTAAAGAAACCGGTTGTATGTATATACAAGGAGACAGTAATTCTTGAGTCAGAGAATACACGTGAGTAAATTGGGTAAATGAAATAGAAAATACCCACATTTTCTATGCTTACCCATTATTTACCTGACTCCTCTAAAAATTCATTGCCCTCATTTTTTATTTTACCTATGTGACTTAAAATTACTCAATTTTACGCACGTTATTCGTGTGATTCTCAAGAATACCCCGCAATTCAACCATTTCTGAACGTAGTCTTACCGACAGTGTCATCCACTTGACCCATGTTCACAAAAAGGTCCTCCGACTGGGTAGTTTAAGTCTACCTTAACAACATAATTTAATTTTACCTGTGTTATTTCCCTTCCTGCCTTCCTTCATTCTTATCTTTTCTTTACAACCTTTCCTATATTATTACTATGATCGTTAGAATTACTATTCTATGTGGAATAGGATATTTTCAAATCGAAAAATCATAATTTAATGTGAATTCTGGTGAGGAGTGTTCCAAGTATTCTATGAGTTTAGATAAGACATGTTGAAATCTTCTTATTTAGTCCCACATGGTTTATATAGGTCACATCCCCTTATTTGTCTTCACGAAGTTTCCTTGTATTTCAGTATTATCAAATCTAGATGTTTATAACTTCATTAATTCTACTACAATCACTCCAGTTTTTATGTGTCAGTATGTAGTACTTTGATGAATATTATTCAAATTAATAATGATGTTAACAGATTATTATTCATCACCTGTAGATCATATCTTTGATCCTTATTTATTGTTGTCACAATGTTCATGTGTTTGTATGTATCTGACCTTAAAAGGGAAATGTATAAATAACAGTGTTTGTAGAGTATTTAGTTGACGAACCATACTGCAATTTATGAATTCACCAAATAGTGATTGTTTCACACTTACTTCTTCTTTTAAATATGTGCACATGATTATGGTTATGAATAGTCCTTTGTGTAAAAGACATGGATGAATGGAATACGAACTTGCCTTGTAACCTGAAGGTCCTGGGTTCGAACCCTGGTGTGTGGGTACGTACTGCCGATGATTCCCAAACTAGTATGAAACAGCAGCTGTCCAGTACTCCCTGGTTTTCAATGGTTCTGTAACTGATATCAATCCGTGATCAACTCGTAAAAACATAAGTAACCCTTACAAACCAATCTAAAGTAAATAAGATATCTCATAATAATAAGTTTTATTAACTGAAAAGCTTTCACTCCTTCCATCGTTAATCACTTAGCACTTAACAAGATTCATCAAAGCTAAAACACAATAACATCGTTATGTTAATTTTATTCTTTCCTTTCTGAATAAAACATGGAGATCCAAGCTTTAGAAGTTTTAGTAGTATTGTTTTTAAGGCGTTGGATCGCTAGCCTCACTCGAAACACTCCCTCTTTCTTCGCGTCATTATCATTATGATTTCCAATGAAACTGTTTTGTTCTTCGTTATTACTATTCCTTTGTCTCACACCTGTTTACTGTCTATATTATGCATTTCTCCTGCTTTCTTCTCTTCCTTTGTGTGCTACATGGAGTGTGGCGACTTGAACTGCCGCACATATGTGCAAAGTTCTATGTCGAAAACCGACCGACCGACCGACGTCATTATCGATTAGTAAACTAGACACAGTTTAGAACTTCGTCAGCCGACAACCAACACAAGGACAAACGTGTACGATTACCAACACTCAAACATTGAATAAACCACTGACACATAGCATCATAAATAAATTCAGTAAAATTATTAATTTCATTCATATTCTCAGGCAGTACTTACTTCAAAAGCTGAATTAATACTGAACATTCTTCGTCGTTCACGTACTTTTGCACCAGATTGTAATTCGTTATAGAACATTGTATGAATAATACCTGTATCTAAATCGCTATTCATATCTAATAATTCATCACAGTTAGTCATACTTGTAGGATTATTTATTTCTAATAAACTACTGTCATTATTATTATTCATAATGTTAGTGTAAGTATTATTATTAGCATTATAATAAGAGAAGTTTACATTTTCTGTTGTTGTATTTTGAACAAGACATGTGTTACTCTCCGCTTTCATATTGTAATAATCATAATTTTGATAATTCTGTAGCGATAAACAACCTTCATTATATAATGAAGAAGTTGTTTCAGAGTGGTGATTTTGTGAAATATAAAAACTAGCGTCGCCATTTGTTTGAGTTATACCTTTTTTAAACTGAATATATTCATATTCATTGATGGATAGTTGATCAATATAATTATCCATAATTATTCAGCTTATCTTTGATTCTTACAATGAAAGTTAATAGAAGTACTAAGATTGTACTGATAACATGAATTTATTGAATTGGAAATCTCTATTTATATAAGATTTATTCTGCCTACTTGACTAATTACACTCAGTAGCTTATATATATATATATATATATATTTGAAGAATATCTCTTTAACTTAACACCTCGTCATTTACAGAACTGTAAACTGACCTATTATGTATGTATGATTCAATAATATGAATTTTTTATTTTCTCATTATTTGTTTCTTTCGCTAATTCAAATAAAATTAAAATAAGTGGCAAATTCGAAAGACAAAAAAAAAGAAAAACAACAACAACTGTAAACTATCCCACTTAAAATTCATTTTGATTGAGTGTACAATCTGTCCACTGAGTGAATTTAACACCTTTTGAAGGATAACATTTCATGATTACTGTCATTAACATCAGGATAAACAGCGACTTTCTAGTGAAGATGCTTCTTCTCTTACTCAATTCTCTTCCTCTGACCACCCCCTGTCTCTTATCTGTGATTTTTTCCCCCAATCTTTATCTGCTTTCCTTTCACTCCTTTACCCTCTCCCTATGTGACAAACACACCTAATTCACACACCCCTTTCTCCCAACAGTCTTCATAATAAGAAATATAAAACATGTAAAAATTCTTTTAAAAAGACGAGATAATTTTATGAGTATTTAATGTTAGCGGTGGGGTATGAGGATCGTTTCCTAACTTACCTTGAGGCAATTAGGTAGAAAAAAATACTGAGAGAGTGAGCGAGAGAGAATGAGAAGATTTTGAATGTTTCTGGCATTCTTTCCCTCCCCCCATCTTCCTTCTGTTATTTTATCATCAGTTTCTCCTTAGAGAAGATGAAATGTTGAAATGAAATCTGTCGATAAATTGTTTTTGAGTAATATTTCACATTATTGAATGTGATAAAGATACTTAAGTAATAAAAGACAGTAAGGATAGACGTAGAAAATCTCATGTACGTGTGCACTGAATAAGCAGAGAGATATTGTCAACAGCACTGGCTTTAAATATCTGAAGTAGGGCAGAATATAATCATATTTTAGTTTATTTACGAAATATATTAAGGAGTGAAACAGTATTATTTTGATTTGTAGTAATATTTCAGCTGTAGTCTCTTGTACACTGTCATGTGATCATGATTATTTCAAGGATAGATAAGTTTAATAATATATTGAAAAGAGAATAGCTCTAGAACTCAACTATAAACATTATTCCCTTGCCTTCCGAGTAGAACATGGGGCTTCAGTAGCAAATCTCCACTTTCTTCTAGGTCATATCTTTTCATTTCTTTGGCAGTGTCAGCAGCCTTTCCGGATTTGAATATCGCACAGACACTACATGTCCGCATGCTGATTTTCGCTTTCATCGAAAGAAGGCACATAGGCTGACTGGTTTCCCGAAAGCTTTCATCAGCCTGCAGCATTCCGTCTCTACGATTCTCCCGAAGAATAAGTTTATTTTCTGTGTTTTTGGTGGCCTTTGATATCTGAACCTTACGTCTTCCGTATAAATACCAAATTCCAAATAAATCACAATGGAAAACAAGCCTGTCCTCATTAAATTCGATTTTAAAGATGATTGTAGGAATAGACAACAGAAGATTGAATACCTCACTAGCCAGAACCTATCCTGTAATTCAATTGACTCCAATTTATCGGACAATATGCTGTTTGCTTGATATATATAGCTTTCTGATGTTAACTGTAACTGTGTATATAAATTTATATGTATTTGCGGTAAGGGATACATTGAGAGAACAAAAAGAAGGGCACACATTTCATTTCCTGAACATGTACCAAAAAGCCTGCGTCTCAAGGAAACAAACATTTACAACAGTGTCATTGGCAGGCTGGCATCTTATTAATACTAGTCATGAGGTGGACGTCACGAAATCCTTTAAAATTATGAATAGACAAAATAGTTCAATTCTCTTCAAGTTTGCCGAAGCAATCACTATCAAACGCTTGAAACACAATTAATGCGTTCAGAACGAAGCTGTTATTAATGTTTCTTTTTCCTGGTAATTGGATGTCTGCCCTCTCTCTTTCATTGGTTGCGTAATCCTTGGCTTTAATCCTTCCCCTCACTAACACAGTGCAACTTTATTTGTTTCTTCTTTCTATGATTTGAGCTGAACTCACCACGCCGTTACTCAGTTTATTAGTTACTCGTCATCTTATTCACCTCTTGTCTTTATTATGTAACTCTTATGTCAGCGTATTGCAGGATTTTTTTAAAGCTTGCTTGCTTACTTTATTCAAATCCATAAACAGGAATAAGTGTGTGAAGTCATCTACGTACCGGGCTTATTCTGAATTACCGTTTGACACTTCTGTTTCTGCCCTTTTATTTCCAATGAACTAGAGTGCTCGCACAAACTGAAATAGAACTATTAAATATTAATTTTCATCGTTCAGGTTGTAAACAATTGACATAAACCAAAGAAATAAAATAAAACTGCTTCATCCTGCTCCATATTTTGGTAATGATTTCTTCCAATATGTCAACGCCAAACCATATAAATCAGAAGGAAAACCAGAACTTCTAACTGTATTACTCCGCTTTCAAAAATACATAAGATTTGTTGGTATATGAATTTTATTCATGTGATACTATGTTCGAAAGAGATGTTTTTAAAGTGTTTCACCATGATTAACAACAAGGTAAATTGATCTTTATGCAAGCATTTGTAATGGCCTCATTAAGTTTGTGTGTTCAAAAGAGATCAGTTATGTGTCCTTCCATACTATGATGATACTTTTCTCGCATAGAACTAACTATCTTAGTGTTCCTATATAAGCTATCCCTCATTTCTGTTCATCTTTTACTTGATGCTACTCGCGATTCTCCCTCTAGCATCACTATAGACAATGATTTTTTTATGCGGCTATTCAATTTTTATTTGACTATTAAACTAACTTATCAAACGTGATTCATTTCATTCTTTTGCGTTCCGAGTGCAACATAGGGCTTTAAGCTTGAGATTTGAAGTTTCGATGGTGGTGATTTTGTTTTCACAACGTAAGGCTGCTAGTTTCATGTTCAAACTTTCCTCTTTACCGCGCTTATGACCGGATAGCCGAAGTTAGGAGATGCATCAGCAGGAAATCGAACGTTAACCAAATAATTGGTCGGTAAGTATCCTACTGCTGGACCAGTGACGCACTATCAAACGTGATCCTGCACACTAATCAATGTTAAATGGCCGTAGTAATCATCAGTGAGATTTTAATTATTAGTATGAACGAGTGAAATGCATTTATACCCATTAGGAAGTTCATTTCCTCTTACAAATGTGGTACTTTTTAGTTAAGTTTTTGCAAAATGTCATAGATACTTTCAATGAATGAAGTTCCAGTTGTATATTTGCAGGGATTCGATTTCAATTTAGACTTCGTCATGAACAGATGTCAATTAGAGAATCACTGGAAGTCAGGAAGTACTGGACATCTATTTCATTCTAGTTTGGGACTTATCACGATATATAATTAGCTCGCGGAAGTCTGAATTAATGGGATATTCTGTTCCATCACAGTGGGTTAATGGTCAACAGCCATGACCCATCGCCTCAAGGTGTTCAGTTCGATCCCTGATACAGTCATGGGTACGTACCACTGAAGAGTCCCGAATTAGAACGTAACAACTGTCCATTACTATTTGATTTTCAGTTTTTTCTAGCTGATTTCCGTTCCTGATCTAACTTGAATGAGGTTTCATTCACTTAGACGATTAACAATGGGTTAATTGATTTCACAATGACTTATATTCAACATTGAAACTAGTTAGCGAGACATTTAAAAATAGAATACCCTACCTATGTGCATCATTTCATAACTCTTTAACTTCGCATACGCTGAGTCCATGACTATCGTTTCATGAATCTGTCAAAACCTTTCCACATAAATGATACTGATAAATTACGCCAATATTATTAGAGTGAAAGCGCTGAAAAGCTACTTTGTGACTATTGTAACCGAGCACTAGAGAAGTTAGCAGTTTCCGCAAAAAGCTGATGTAACTTTGCAATCAACTAATTTTTCTCTACGAGATTTCGTACAATACTCACATTGAATATTCAGACACATGTTTTAGAGAATGATGTTGTTTTTTACTAAGTAGAAACACAGTATTTTGAATAGGTCACATTCATACTTTAACCAGAGGAAGATGATTGGTAATTTTCAATCCTTAATTCTATCATATATTTATTCCATGATGTAGATTATATTACATGCACTATGTTTCACCTAATATATGAAAACTATTGCTTAAAGTATCAGAGAAAACAAGCCACCTTGAGTAAGCATATTTCTTTGAGGGTACACCTTGTTATGATATGAAACCAGTTAAGTAAGGAAATGCAAGTCAGTGGGAGGATTCAGCAGCTGTTTTGTCACAGCTTAAAACTCTTAAGCAACACTCATCTGTCACCATGCCGACTATAGTTCTCAAGACCCTCAGTTACAAGAAACCAACTAATTTGACGAATATAACAAAATACTAGCCAACACTAGTCTAGTGCTTACTAGTGACCTAATACAAAATGAAAATGCCTGAAGTCTTAATGGAAATTTGTGGCTATCAGGGCCTACCAAGTAGGATGTGAGGAGAAATACTCGTCGATGATGTTCGTTTGTGGTCATTCTATATCTTAAAATGGTAGAAGTTAGAATTGATGGGTCAATGGATTCCATTCCAGTGACTGAATGGCCTACGATCTAGCCTTAAAACAGGAAGGTCCTGGGTTCACTTCCTGGTGGCGTTACGGGTGGATTTTCCTGAAAAGACCTTGACGACGACGGAAAAGTTGTCCAGTACTTCTTCCTGGTTCCAAGTGATTCTCTAATTGAAGTCACTTCATGATCAATCCTGAAATAAATCAAATCTCTGCGAACCAACATTTAAAAATAGCAACTATAACTGAAGTGCATTCAGATCAAGACTTACTCAAAGAAGATATGACAACCTGGACTAAAGAAGATGTGGAAGCCA